TGTTTCTGGTGGTTGTATTGGTGGTGGTTGTGGTTGTTGTGGTGGTGGTTGTTGTGGTTTTGGTGGTGGTGTTTGTGGTGGTTGTATTGGTGGTGGTTGTGGTGGTAGTGGTTGTGGTGGTGGTTGTTGTGGTGGTGGTTGTTGTTGTTGTTGTGGTGGTTGTTGTTGTTGTTTACCGAGGTAGAGCCTCGCTCTCTCTCGTAGGGATGTCAATTGAGTATCAGCGAGCATGGAAGCGATGTCCAGGTTGTAACTTTACAGCGCGGGGCCTAACCACACGGGGCCTTGCCTCCTGCCCTCGCCTGATCGCGTTTGCTTCAATTCCCTCGCTTAAGTTTAATTTGTCTTCACTCGGCTCGCCACTTTGTCACTTTGTTTTACTTTTAAATATTCACGCAGTTTTTATTTCATTCTTTTTTACCAGGCCAAGCCCGCTTGAGCTGCTGTACCGCTTTTGTTTTCGGAAGCGATCTGCCCACAACACAAGGTGAGGCTCGTGAACAGCGTGGTGGTGTTCACTCTAGACACGTGGTGGTGTTCACTCTAGACACGTGGTGGTGTTCACTCTAGACATGTGGCGGTGTTCACTCTAGACGCGTGGTGGTGTTCACTCTAGACGCGTGGCGGTGTTCACTCTAGACGGGTGGCGGTGTTCACTCTAGACGCGTGGCGGTGTTCACTCTAGACGGGTGGCGGTGTTCACTCTAGACGCGTGGCGGTGTTCACTCTAGACGGGTGGCGGTGTTCACTCTAGACGGGTGGCGGTGTTCACTCTAGACGCGTGGCGGTGTTCACTCTAGACGCGTGGCGGTGTTCACTCTAGACACGTGGCGGTGTTCACTCTAGACGCGTGGCAGTGTTCACTCTAGACGCGTGGCGGTGTTCACTCTAGACGCGTGGCGGTGTTCACTCTAGACGCGTGGCGGTGTTCACTCTAGACGCGTGGCGGTGTTCACTCTGGACGCGTGGCGGTGTTCACTCTAGACGCGTGGTGGTGTTCACTCTAGACGGGTGGCGGTGTTCACTCTAGACGCGTGGCGGTGTTCACTCTAGACGCGTGGCGGTGTTTACTCTAGACACGTGCCGGTGTTCACTCTAGACGCGTGGCGGTGTTCACTCTAGACACGTGGTGGTGTTCACTCTAGACGCGTGGCGGTGTTCACTCTGGGCGCGTGGCGGTGTTCACTCTAGACGCGTGGTGGTGTTTACTGTAGACGCGTGGCGGTGTTCACTCTACTTGGTGGAGTGAGGAAGCATGAATTTTGAGCAGGTGAAGGTGGCCAGGCGTGGGTCTGGACACACCACCACCTGTGAACCATGCCAGTGTGTGACAGTGGTGGAGCCAGTGGGGGTGGGGTGGCACGTACCCCCCCAAAGGTCCGATTGAAATCTCTAATTTCGATCAGATCATTGGGGTTTATTAGTAACTAGCTTCACTACCCAGCTTCGCCCGGGACTTGGATTCTTGTCTTGGATACATTTAAAATTTCATATTCCCTTGTCTTTGACTGAAAACCCCTGAAAAAATGTGATGCTTGCAAGAAAGAAAAAAGCCGAAACAAATCAAGTTCCCTAAATCGGATGTTTTCACTCAAGGAAATTTAACCTTAATCCACTTCTACGCAAGGTCGATTTTGGCCACGCCGGAAGGGAATGACGTGGCGAGCTGAAAATAGTCGCGTTCACTTAGAAATTCCAGACAGCATAAGCTGTGAAATTTTCATGACGCCAGAGCTCAGCGATGGATAGTTTTTGATGCTTCACACAAACAGATGCTATTTCTGCTTTATATTTAAGATAGCCGTTGTACCCGTTCTTCGCGCAGATATTTATTGAAACTCCGAGAAGCCAATGGCTTCATCGGCCAGGAGCAAAGCGCCACCTAAAATCTCCCGGCACGCTGTTAACAGCTCTAAGCTCTGCAGAGCGCTTAACTCAGGTGTGTTGCGGGTTGACGTCACACACTCCATGGTCATTTCCCCCACCCCCCCCCCCCCCAAAATACAAACGTCTATTTTTATACTTTTTACATTGTGCACAGTATGGAACTGTTGTATACGGCCCTTTTTCCACAATTAATATCCATGAGAATATTTGCCGATATATACATATAGATTTTTTTCTTTTGTGACAAACCAAAATTAATTAATAAAACAGCCAGGCACACCAGAAAGCCAGATGTCGATCATAAACAAGCCATTAAAAAAATGAAATAAACTCTCGAAGGAGGATGTTAACAGCTATCTGCGAAGATCTCCAGATGAACAAGAGTTTGGTGTGCCCCTTTGGAAAGGTCACCCAGCGGCGAGCCTCAGGAGGACAGACGCGAGTTAAACCATTTTTTTATTTTCCTTATTTGCCATTAAAACAACGGTTAAAATTTAAAATACAATAACCAGAATAAGCTAAAATTAGCGATCCTCACGATCACTCCAATTAAGACTAGGCCACCAGATGCATCAGTGAATCCTTATCCAATTATTAGTTCGATATCAAATGATTTTCACCTTGAATACTTTTACTGTTAAAACAAAGCTTGGAGACAGAAATACCGAGTCACATCAAAGGTTATCGAGAAGGAATGAGGCGAACGGGCAAACTTATGAAAGAGTTTAAACAATGTCCCAAGCAACCCCGACCACCTTTGTCTCTCTCGCAGCGTGGGAGAGCAAGAATTTAACACCATAGCGAGAGAATGATTATCAGGGTTGGCCATCTGCAGCGTATGCGCAGGGCTCAAGGAAAACACACCCCACCCTGCTACGCAGGCGGTAAGAATCCCTTAGAAGCTACACTGCCGCCATCCGCGAACAGAGTTTAATTAGAGAAATTTACTATACATGGTGTCACACAAACCTTAATGCTAACGTGATTTATCTTAAATTACAGTATATCTAGGCGTTACATAACCTTACAGAACCAAGGGATATGGATTCCAACAATAAAGAAACGGATCCCTTAAACTCAGGATAAACATCTTTATTATAAAATAAATAATAACTCCCATCATAACAATGCGAATCTCGGTAACCCGAGAGGTGTGTCGGGAGGACATAGTTACAAAACACGAGCCTTAGTGAAGATAAGACCAAATGGTATTTGAGAAACATTAAACCGAAAGCAGCCAGAAATAGAGGTACTCCCGACCGCCTTTGTATCTCCCGCAGAGCGCGAGAAAGGAATTTCACGCCAGAGCAAAGAGATCATTATCAGGCCATCTGCACACGCACGTGGGCTCAATAATGGCCCCACCCCACAACCACGCAAGCGAGTTTTAAGTTAAGAGAAATCGCAATACATTTATATGATGATAAGACAGAATGACGAAAATTAATAAACTAAGAGCCAAGATAACGGGGTGGATCAAACTGGTTGAATATAAGATCGAAATGATATTTGAGCGATGTTAACTCAAGATATAGAGAGATAGGAAAGATCCCGGCCACCTTTGTCTCTCCCCACAGCACGTGATAAAATATGCATACGCTCGAAAAAGCATCTTCACTTGGAAATAAAATCAAATACCCCGAATCACAAGCAGAATCATATATGCGTATGGTACGATACGCTGTCAGATGAGAAAGGTTAAACTTTAAAAACTAACAATTTTTTTGTGCATCAGAAACGTGTACAAAGGGGGGGGGGGGGGGGGGGGGGGAACCCGCCCCTCCCTCTGGATGGACAGTGTAGACAGACAGACGCCTTTGAGATGAATCGAAGCGTCTGCTCCCTTGATGGTTTATGGCTTGAGGAAGACCCGAACAGAACCTTGTCGTAAATGACACACACACAAACATACACACTGACACACGAACCTCGACCACCACCGACACACAACCAGATCAAAGATAGCTCCGCCTCGTGAGGAGGAGCCTAAGAGGAGAGATTTTGACGTAAAAATGAGCCGTTTCAGCATTGAATTCAACTCATCAGCCCGCGGGGCCAGCTCAACAGAACAAAACTCATCTCAACTCATCTCAGCAGAATACCAGCCATCACCGACGCCGCCTCTACAAACTTGCCAAATTGGCGAGTGTCGCCGATTGGCGACACGCTGCCCGCTATTGGCGGTCAGCGCAACCGAGCGAATCGTGAGCCTGTTTCCCTTCAACGTGACTTTACCGAAAGAGCTAAGAATATGAATTACTGCAGTCACGAAAGCTTTAAATCAAAATTTAATGTGTACGAGTAATTGCATTGTTCCAATTAATAACCAACCTTTGTTACCGAGGCTGGGCCCGATTATCATAACGACCTGCATTATCATAACCAAGCCCACTCGCATAAATTAATAAGGTTACCTCTAATTAGTATAATTTATGCACATAATCACCCAAATTAACACAATTTCGGATGAATTATGTAAATTTCACATTTCAATTTTCATTATTTTCAAATTTTCATAACCCACATATACAACAGAACCTACCCACATGCCAAATTTCAAGTGTGTAGCATGTTGGGAAGTATGCTGAACATTTCAAACAGACATAAATTGACAAATTTCCCTTTTATATATATAGATAAATCAGCATTTTGCGACCCCCACTGCCACCGTGTGGCATATTATTACGTGCCAGGGACTCTATGAGAGGACAACAGTCCAAGTCCATAATTGGCAATAAGTAACGGCAAAGCAGTTACAAGCGACTCACAGAATTGTGTGCAGTTGCGTATACAGTACACGACTTCCCTGATGGCAAACACCTTCAGCGAGCGCGATGCCTATCACACGCGTCCAATAAAAAGCATAGGACAAGTCCTTGGTAACAACTCCTTAATAACAGCTCCTTAATAACAACTCCTTACTTAATAACAACTCCTTACTTAATAACAACTCATATGTTTCATTGCTGGAGGGGTTGCTCATGGCTCCACCTCTGAGTGTGTGACACGGTCAAGTTTGTATTTGCAGTAAAGTCTATTAACTCTATTGAGCGTAGAGGTTATATCAAAACAGTTTATTTTGTTTTCCTCTGGAACTCTTTGTTTGAATGTAGTCGGGAAGTTATCACAGCACACGTGCAGCTGAAATCAGAACTGTTCATCCCAGCATTCAAGGACATCTGTGCCTGGCTTCACACCTCTAAGTTGCGATTAAACATTCATTTATGCATAACACAAATAGTATTATTTTCAAGACCCTTTGCTATGTCAGCTGAATTTAGCTTTCATAAATATTCCTTTTGAAGCCAGACCGCCGAAATTGTGTGCTCGGAGTTTGGGTTTACATTCATTTTGAAGAAACGAGGGCTTCCAGACACGTTTTTGACCATTTGCCCTCTCATTGTGTGCCATAACAGCCCATGTGATGAATTTGGGACACTTTTTCACTATATCATGAAATTATGAATAAGTATAGACATGTTAGTCACGTGTTGCTGTGTGTATGCATTCCTCTGTGCATCAATACTGACGTGTAGATGGTGTGGACATAATTTTTTTCTGTCTGCAGCTGACGCTTCCTCTGTTGCTTCCTCTGCAGAATTTGTCTGATGGAGCAAAGGCACTCGGCGCAGCTCGGTACAACAAGGCATCATTGCGACCGGTGTGCATACAGCACGGATCGTACTGGAAATTTGACCTTGCACCAGAGAACTCACACGGGAGAGAAACCCTTCAAGTGCAGTGTGTGTGGAAAGATGTTAGCACAGTTATCAAATCTTCAAGTACACCAGAGAACACACACAGGAGAGAAACCCTTCAAGTGCAGTGTGTGTGGGAATGCGTTTTCACATTCATCTGCTCTTGTAACACACCAGAGAACACACACGGGAGAGAAACCTTTCCAGTGCAGTGTGTGTGGGAAGGCGTTTGCACATTCACCACATCTTCAAAGACACCAGAGAACACACACAGGAGAGAAACCCTTCAAGTGCAGTGTGTGTGGGAAGGCGTTTTCACAGTCACCACATCTTCAAGTACACCAGAGAACACACACTGGAGATAAAGCCTTCAAGTGCAGTGTGTGTGGGAAGGCGTTTTCACAGTCAACTGCTCTTAAAAAACACCAGAGAACTCACACGGGAGAGAAACCCTTCAAGTGCAGTGTGTGTGGGAAGGCGTTTTCAGATTCATCTACTCTTGTTATACACCAGAGAACTCACACGGGAGAGAAACCCTTCAAGTGCAGTGTGTGTGGGAAGGCGTTTTCAGATTCATCTACTCTTGCAAGACACCAGAGAACACACACGGGAGAGAAACCCTTCAAGTGCAGTGTGTGTGGGAAGGCGTTTGCACAGTCATCTACTCTTGTAAGACACCAGAGAACACACACGGGAGAGAAACCCTTCAAGTGCAGTGTGTGTGGGAAGGCGTTTGCACAGTCATCAAATCTTCATGTACACCAGAGAACTCACAAGCATCAGAAGATCCACAAGGAGTGGAGTCTGAAATCAGCTTGTGAAAGTCAAAGTGCCGCAATGAGCTCATCCCTCATGAAACAAGAACCGGAAGAAAATCCCAGCTTGGACACTTTTAAAGGTATCGAGGTGAAATATGAAGAGGTGAAGGTGAAATGTGAAGAAGTGATGGTGAAGAGTGAAGAAGTGAGGGTAAAATGTGAAGATGAAGATTCAACTCCAAAATCGGACCTTCACATCGATGGAAGCAATGTGAAGCAGGAGGAGAATTCTGACTGTGAGGCAGAGCGAGGCAACTCCCAGCAGTTTGTGGAAGTGGAGGTGTGGGTAGACTTCCTAGACAATACAAAGTCAAATGGAGACCCGGTAGATGTGTAAGTCAGAGACGATGTCGCTCCAATAGATGCACCTTTGTCACAGGCCTTTAATGACAAGAATGAAGTTGAACACTCAATTCCTAGGTTCAACCTGCAGGGTAAGAGCGGCCAGTCTTTGTGGACCTGTGGGTTGGGTAGATCTCTAACCATGAGCGAGAGCCAATAAGCTCCCAAGCATTCACTATGTTCTCATAATTGCATTTACATGGTGCTTGCTTAATCGCCTCTGGCAATTCGGAGTTTTGTTTCGTATCTTGTCTCAAACACTCGAAGAGCATCCCCAAGTAGCAGCTGCCCCTGTGTGGTACAAGGTGGTGGCCCTGCACCGGCCTGCATGTGGACAAGAGCCTGTCAGTAGGGGGCGATGGTTGATGTGGCATCTTGGTTGTGGAGTTTGTAGGTAATGTTTAGAATTTGATCAATTTTGACCCAGACGCCACCATGCAATGGCCTACTCATTTTGAAAGGCGCAATAGTATGTTGTACATACACTGCTAAGCGTATTTTTTAAAATAGCTTCTTGTTAATGCGATGTAACCTGATGCAGTATATTACACTGCAGTAATTCAGTTTTGTTAATATTCCTGTCAATAATTTAGAATGAATACTTGTCTGATTGTGTGCGTACATGTAACATTTTGTCTATAAGGGTCAAACATTGAATAAGTGATGTTAGGACAAAGTGTTTGTTTTGGAAGTAACCTGTACAGATAACTCAGGTGAGACTCATTGTTCTTGTGATACAGGTCAAAGGGTATTTTTGTGTTTTCAGGAAGCATCTCCCTCTGGAGCAACTCATTGTCTTTGAAATAGGGAGCACACTCGGATCATTCATCAGTGACAAGGCATACCACTCAAAAGTTACACGTAGGGGAGATACATTCTCTACAACACGAATTATAATTCATAATAAAGGTTTTTGGGTTAGATCTAACCCAAAAAACCTTTATTATGAATAATATTGGTCGCGAAAGCCTACGTGTTAAACGAATTATAATTTTGTATTACGTGTTGATGTAGATTTTGTCAAATTAGGACGAGAAATGGTCCAAGCTGTTTAACGTCTGGATGTTCACAACCAAGGGTTGAAGCAAGCCTGACCGCCTGCGGCGCCCCTCACAACCATTTACGGCCTTGGGCCAGGAAAGTCACAAAAAGAATTGCACACGAACGACGCCTCCACGCACGCTCCCGATGCTCCGTTTTGAAGTTTGAAAATGAAACAACTTTGAATTGTATTATGTTTTGAATTCGATAATTGTATTTCTTCATTAAAAGCTTATTAAGTGAAAACGATATTTAGTGTGAATTTTCTCTTGTCATGAAGTAGATGGCCTTGCCGGGGGTTCGGTTCCATGCGGACTTTCACCTGGTTGGGATCGCGGGATCGAGATGAGGCGACACAGAGCTGGCCGTGCGAGAAGACCGCCGTCTGCAGATCGATTCCAACGCGATCGAACGTCTGTCCCTGCACCTCCGTCGTTCATGCAGGATTTATAAGGCTTTTCCAAAATTGATATGAACAATAATATTTGCCATTATATCATAATTTTTTAACATGCTAAAAATAAATTTTGATTTAAAGCTTTCGTGACTGCAGTAATTCATATTCTTAGTTTTTTCGGTAAAGTCACGTTGAAGAGAAACAACAAAATAAAATATATATAAAACAATAAAAAATTCTCACGACGTTTCGACCATAACTCAAACGGTCATCATCAGGTGTGTCGGTTTGCATAAATTTATTTTGAAAACGGCATTTATTTATATATATATAAAAATAACGTTTGCGTCACGCGCAACGATTGGCTGTTTGCCAGGACTAGTCCATCTAGTTCTATTTCCGATGGTCTGAAATCCGTTTTAGCTAAAGGTCTAAACTTTGCAGTCACACCTAAACACATACCAGTTAATGATATAATTGCCCAAGTAGACGTTGCTCTCAGGGGCCTGGGTCACATCGCTGCAGACGTAGCAAGATCTGAAATCGCTGCAACCCTCAAAAACGCTAAGATGCCAGCTAGCAACCTCAGCAAAGATGAGCGTTTTGAATTATATAAATTAAAAAAGAGGAATGATATTGTAGTTCTCTCAGCTGACAAAGGCAATGCTACTGTTATCATGGATAAAATAGAATACAACAACAAAATTAAAGAATTACTCGACGATGGTAGTTATACAAAAATAAAAAGAGATCCCACCAACAGCCTCGTCACACAAACCAACAAAATAATTTCTGATTCAACCGCATTAATTGATCAATCTAAACAGTTTTCGTTGAAACCTTCTGCTGCCAGGCCACCAAGATTATACGGCTTACCAAAAATACATAAAGTTGATACACCTCTTCGTCCCATAGTCTCTACTATCAGCTCCCCCACCTACAAACTAGCTCGTTTTTTGTCTGAAATCCTGCGTCCTTTCACTGGAAAGACCACCTCTGCGGTACAAAATTCTACTCACCTGGTATCAACAATCAAGGGTATTTCCCTGTCCCCAGACGACCTGCTTGTCAGTTTTGATGTAGTTTCCTTATTCACCAAGGTTCCTGTACCTGACACCATTGCAATCATTGAAGACTTGGTTCATCAAGGACTAAACACTGAGGTACCCCCCCTGGTGAGACACTGTTTAACCAATACATACTTCACTTGGAATGGAACTTTCTACAAACAAACTGAGGGCACCCCAATGGGCTCCCCCCTTTCTCCAGTTATAGCTAACATTTTCATGGAGAAATTTGAGACTGACGCCATCCAGACTGCCACTCTGCGCCCAACCTTATGGAAGAGGTACGTGGATGACACTTTTGTCATCTGGCCACATGGCCGGCCTGCTCTAGACCAATTCTTCGACCACATCAATTTCATACACCCAGCCATCAGATTTACCATGGAAGTCGAAATAGATGGCAAGATACCTTTTTTGGATGTCCTAATTAAAAAGAGACCTGATGGTTCAATGAGCCACTCTGTCTACAGGAAAGCTACCCATACGGATGCTTATCTGAAACCGGATTCCCACCACCATCCATCACAGAAGAATTCTCTCATCAAGACTCTGTATCATAGAGCCCAATGCATATCCGACCAGGAACACATAAGCAGTGAACTCAAGCACGTACACCAAGCTCTTAGGGCTAATGGTTACTCCGACTATACAATCCGCAAAGCTATCACTCAAACCATGAAGAAGAACCCTCTTGAGGAGCCTTTCAAAACCATCACTTTACCCTACATTGCTGGGATCACAAAAAAGATCTCCAAAATCTTGAATAAACACAAGATCCAGGTCCGTTTCAACACATTACATAAAATCCGTGATCTGGGTCCGTCTGTAAAAGATGTGATTCCGGACATACAATACCCTGGTGTCTACAAACTAAGTTGCCTCTGTGGTAGTAGTTACATTGGAGAAACCAAACGCCATATCTCGGACCGCATTCGTGAACATAAAGCAGACCTTAAACACGGTAGGACCAACACCTCGGCCGTAGCAGATCATTGTTCTAATTCAGTAGGCTCACATGCCATTGACTTTTCCAAGACGGAGGTTCTTTGTAAGCCATCTGGCTTCCATGAGAGATTCGTTCATGAGGCTATCCACATATACAAACACAGAGACAATTTCAACCGAGAAGATGGATTCTATCTTAGCAATCATTGGAAAGATTTGATAAATCATTTCAGTTCTTGATTGATTGTTCACGCTTACAGTGCCTTTCAGACAGCATACATAAAAACAAATTTCGTCTCCCCCCTCCTCTTTTCAAAAAATAGATGGACTAGTCCTGGCAAACAGCCAATCGTTGCGCGTGACGCAAACGTTATTTTTTATATATATAAATAAATATGCCGTTTTCAAAATAAATTTATGCAAACCGACACACCTGATGATGACCGTTTGAGTTATGGTCGAAACGTCGTGAGAATTTTTTATTGTTTTATATATATTTTGTTATTTTGTTGTTTCTCTTCAACGTGACTTTACCGAAAAAACTAAGAATATGCTAAAAATAATTAATAAAACCCATAAGCCAGGCACACAAAAACAGATGTCGATCATAAACAGGCCATAAATATATAAAGAAATAATAAAACTCTCAAGGCGAGGATGTTAACAGCTATTGGCGAAGATCTCCAGATGAACAAGAGTTTGATGTGCCCTAAGGGAGGTCACGCAGAGGGAAGACCTCCGCAAGCCAGACACGAGGATGCCCACGGGTTAAACCATATATTTTTTTTTCCTTTGTCATTAAAACAACGGTTAAAATTTAAAATGCAATAACAAGAATAACCTAAAGTTAGCGGTCCTCGCGCTCACTCCAATTAAGACCAGGCCACTAGATACATCAGTTAATTATTATCCAATAATTCGCTATCAAATGATTTTCACCTTGAATACTTTTACTGTTAAAACAAAGCTTGGAGACAAATACCGAGTCACATCAAAGGTTTTCGAGAAGGAATGAGGCGAACGGGTAAACTTACAAAAGAGTTTAAACAATATCCCAAGCAACCCCGACCACCTTTGTCTCTCTCGCAGCGCGTAGAAGCAGGAACCACACCTTATCACAAGGGGCCATCTGGAGCGAGCCAGACG